CTCTATCATCCTACACAAAAGTCAACTCCAAATGGATCAAAGACCTCAATGTGAAGCCTGAAACTCTGAAATTGTTAAAAGAAAACATTGGCAATAACTTACAAGATATAGGTCTAGGAAAGGACTTTCTAAACCTGACATTAATTGCTCAGGAAACTAGGTCAAGAATCAACAAATGGGACCTCATTAAACTAAAAAGCTTCTGTACATCAAAAGAGGCAACCAAGGAAGTGAAGAGAAAACCCACAGAATGGGAAAAAATCTTCACCAGAGACACATCTGACAGAGGTTTAACATCCAGAATATATAACGAACCTGAAAAACAGAGAATCAAGAGAGGAAGTAACCCAATTAAAAGATGGGCTAAGGAGCTGAACAGAGAGGTCTCAAAAGAAGAAGTAAAGATGGCTAAGAAGCATCTTAAAAGATGTTCAACATCACTAATAATTACAGAAATGAAAATTAAAACCACTTTAAGATTTCATCTTACCCCATTCAGACTGGATAAGATCAAGAGAAATGATACCAAATGTTGGAGAGGATGTGGGGAAAAGGGAAGACTCACTTGTTCAACCTCTATGGAAAGCAGTGTGGAGAACTCTTAAAAAACTACAAATGAACCTACCATTTGACCCAGTTATACCACTTCTTGGCATATACCCAAAGAACTCATCCTATTGCAGAGACACTTGTGCATCCACGTTTGTTGCTGCTCTTTTCACAATAACTAAGCGATGGAAGCAGCCTAAGTGTCCCTCAATTGATGAGTGGATAATGAAATGTGGTTCATTTATACGATGGAGTTTTACTCAGCAGTAAAGAAAGATGAAATCATGAAATTTGCGGGTAAATGGATGGAACTAGAAACTGTTTTACTAAGTGAAGTAACACAATCTCAGAAAAAAAATCAGTCGACATGTGTTCACCCTCATATGTGGATGCTAGAACCAAACCCTGATGAGTGAGTATGTATCCAGACATAACTACAGAAACCAGGGTAATTGAAAGGAACCAGGGAAGTAAAGGAAAAGAAAGAACCTGAAAGAGAAGAACAGTAGAAAACAACAGATGTGAACAAGGGAGATATGGACAATAATGGGGTTATTTTAAGGGGAGGGGGAGGGAAGGTTATACAAGGAACCTAGGGGATAAAGGGAAAGAAGGAGCTCAAGAGAGGTGGGACCATAGGAGAAGGGTATTATTAAGGGAGAAATGGAAAAAAACGGGAGCACCTTAAATGGAGAAACTATGGTGGGTTAGACAATGTGAGAGATAAACAATGCCTAGCTAGTTTTAGAAAACCAGAG